GGTCCGGGGAATCCTTTGGCTCATCAGCCCCTGCAAGGAGGAATCAGCAGGTACCCTCAGCACCCCAGAACCCCCCCACCTCAGGGCCGGGGACCCCCCCAAGCCCGGGGCCTACATGGGGCAGCCCCCATTACCCCCAGCCCTTACAGAGGGATACGAGTTTCCCCAGTGCCGCGCACAGCGCCGCACCGCGCGGGGGCGCTCTAAGGCGCCACTCGATGGTCACCAGCGCCGAGGAGTCACTCGGGGAAACCATAGAGTTCCCCCTCCCGCACTTCCCGCCCTGCCTAGAGCCTCCACCTCAACCATAGAGCAGTTCCCTCTCTATGGTCGTAGACGCTCTAGGCGGCCTCTCGAAGGCCCCCGTGGAGGACTCGGGTTTCCGTCTGTCCCCCACAACCCGACGACCCACGAGCACGGCCGGGGGGGGACGAGGGGGGTCCCCGGGGCTCACCCAGGTCCTCGGCCTTCGCGTCGTCCTTGCCATCGTCGTCAGGAGCGGTGGCGCTGCCGTCGGTGCTGTCGTCCCCTGTGGGGCACCAGGCCTCAGTGGGGCTGGGCCGCCTTAGGGAGGGGGTCCGGTACCCCCCAACCGCCCCCGGGGTCACCCGCCAACCCCCAACGTCCTCCTACACCCCGGTGTCAACAGCAACCCCAACAGCCCTCAGCATCCTCCAACAACCCCCCACTAACCCCACGTGTCCCCTCTCAGGGACAGCGGCTGGGGAGGGGAGGGGGGGGGTTGGGTTCCCAGGCCAGATCCTGGCCACTCACCTCGGGGGTGCATGGGGGTCTCCCTCCTGTCAGGGGGGGCACCCTGCAACACCCCAGCCAGGCTGGGGTCCCCCTTGGGTCGCGGAGCACCCTGGCCCAGGGAGGGGCGGGCAGCCCCGTCCCCCACGCCGCCCGCTGCCAGCAGCGCCTTCCGGCTCAAGTCCATCAGCGCCTTCCCGAAAAATGCCTCCTGCCAAAGGGGGAGCTGCCGTCAGCGCCACGGTGTCTGTTGGGGTGTCCCCTCTGTCCGTCCCCACCCCCTCCACCCCAGGGCCACCTCTGTCCAACCCCGTCCATCCCACCTGCAGGTAGGGGGGGAACATGTCCTCCAACTTGCTCTTTTTCCTTCCCCGACGCTTCTTCTTCTCGTCCCCTTCTGCCGAGCCCGGATCCAGGCCGCCCTCGGCCGGGAGGTCGCCCGGAGCCCCTGCAACAACCGCCCCGTTAACACCTCCCCCCAAAAGAGTTTGGGGCTGTCCCCAGGGGAAGGGAAGGGTGCCGCTGGGCCCTACCGTCTTCTGGGTGCCCCTCAGCACTCAGCCCCTCGCGCCCCACTTCGGCCAGCACCGCCGAGACCTTCTTCAGGCGGGTGTGAGACTTGCGCTGCCGCACCATGAAGCCACCGATGCCTGGTGGGCAGAGGAAAAGAAAATGTAGGGTCACAGCGGGGCCTGCGGGGGGGTGGTTCCGGTCCTGGGGGGCAGCCCCAGGTGACACTCACCAGGCCGGTACGGCTTGCGCTTCCTCTTTTTGCACTCCTCCGGGTCCTCCAGACCCTTTCCCGAGTCCACGTCAGCCCCGATGTCACGGTCAGGGCTAGCCGGAGCCTCCAGCTTGATCTCGCACTCCATGTGCTCAACACCCACTGCCAGTAGGTGGGGGGACACGCGTTAGCGGGGTCCCCTGGCACCCCCACACTGCACCCCCACACAGCTTGCCCGCCGGGGAAACGTACCTTCAGCTTTGAGCAGCTCATCAGCGTCCAGATCGCCATCCTTCTTGTCGTCGGGGCCCAGGGGGTCGCCCCCCTCCAGCCCCCCGTCCCCGTTCAGGGTGCCCAGCCGGCCCTTGCGCTGCCGCCGCTTGTGCAGGGGCGACAGGGAGAGGTTGCGCAGCACCGCCATCCCCGTCTCCGTCAGCCAAACACCCTCGAAGCGGAAATACTGGGGTTCTGCAGGGACAAAAACCAGCGTTGGGGATAAAAGCCAGCGCTGGGTGCACGGCCAGCACTGGGGAGCCTGCGGCACTGACCCCGGCACCAATTATGGCACTGCAAGTACCTGGCTCCTTGGTCTTGACTGAGGCGATCTCTGCGGTCGGCGTGGGCACTGCAGATGTAAAAGCAGACAGGGAGGTGAGTCCCCACGTCCCCCAAATATCCCCCAAACCCTGTGGGCTCCCCCCACCCCAGGCACTCACCGGCCGGCTTGACCACATAGGGCTGGCAGGCACTGCAGTCGAAGCCTTCGTCCGCAGCCTGCTCCACCTCCTCCTCCGTGAAAAGGCTGTCACATGCCGCGTGCAGCCACCTGCGGACAGCGGGGACCCATCACGCACCCCATCAGCCCCCCCTGGGGAACCCAAGAGCAAAGACACCTCCCCCACCATCCTGGAGTCGGGGGGTACATGCCACGGGGGTGCAGTGCTCACCGATCGCAGTGCCGGCACTGGATGAGCAGGTCGTCCTCCACGTACTTCTCGCGGCAGAAGGGGCAGACGACCAGGCTGGCGCAGGGCGCGCAGTGGGTGTAGTTGTTCTGCCACTCGCAGTGGAAACCGGGAGAAGCCGCCCCGCACTGCACGCAGCATACGCACCTGGGGGGGGCCCAAGGGGTCAGCACCAGCCCCGAGTTCCCCCCCGGGCTCCCCTTACACCCCCCCACGTACCACTTGCACTTCCAGCCACCCTTGGGCACGGTCTGCAGGGGGGGGTCCAGGCAGTAGGTGTGGTAGCTGATATCGCAGTCGTCGCAGAGCAGGAGCCGGGAGGGATCAGAGGCTTTGCCGCACACCTCGCAGACGATGCATTCCACACAGCGCCAGCCCTTCAGCAGCATCACCTTTGTGATCTGGGGATGGGGGGGGGAGACCATGTGAACTCTGGGCACAGCCACGGGGGTCCTCGGGCTCGGCATGGCCACAGGGGGACACCCCGGAGCCTGGCACAACCACATGGACATGCTCGGCACGACTTTGTGCGAATGCCCCAAGGGACATGGCTCGGCCGTGCGGGTCCCCAAGGGGCACAGCACGGTCCTGCCCACCCAGCGTGGGGCCAGGGGTCCCACTCCCCCTCACCTTGCTGTTGACACAGTAGGGGTGGTAGCACTGGGAGCACTGGGAGCAGGCGAGGAGGTGCCCCTCGGCCCCACGCCCGAAGCTGCCGCACACCACGCACATGTCCTAGGGGAGAGAGGCTGTTAGAAGAGTTGGGGGGAGGACGACAGGAGCTGATGGGGGACAGAAGTCTGTCCTGTCCATCTGTCCTGCAGCACCCCGGTTACCTGCATGAGCACAAACTTATCGGTGTTGGAGAAGAGGACGACCGTGTTCTGCATCGTGTCGTCATCGTCCTCATCCTCCTCCTTACTGGGTGAGCTCTCCACGTCAGCAAGCTGTGAACAGAGTGGGGGGGGCTCAGCACTGAGGACTCCCACTCTCCGTGCAGTTTTGGGGGGGGTCACCAGCCACAGTCTGGAGCCAAACCGGGGGGGCACGGGAACACATAGGGGCAGCAGACCCCCTGCCTGCCTGCAAACCAGCCCCTCCTGGGGGGGGGCAGCTCCACACCAGCCCTATCCCTGTAGGGTGAAACCCCCAGACCCACAGCACAGCCCCAGGCAGTCACCTCCCCCCCAGGACCCCCACCCCGAGGGCTCCCAAGCCTTTCCGAGGGACTGGGATGGTGGGGAAGGGGATAGGGGAAACGCTCGGCTCTCAGCCCTGCCACCTAACAGCTTGGGACCCCACCCCCCCCGGCCCCCCA